GAGAGAGAGAGAGAGAGAGAACGAGAGAAAGAGACAGAGACAGTGAGAGAGAGAGAGAGAGAGAGTGAGAGAGAGAGACAAACACAAATAGAGAGACAGAGAGACTCAGAGACAGAGAGATGGAAAGGGGCGTATAAAAAAGAACGATTCGCCTGGAAATACCACCGAGTGGGATAGGACTAACAAGCTACTCATCAATAACCAAAAATACTTGGCTATTGCCTATTTGGGTACACCAATAGACCTGCACGTATTTCTTTGCTTGTCAATGACGTCACTTTTGATATGAGAATTGCGCAATGAGGAGCAAGAGGAAGAGGGAGAGCAGGCGGAGAAGTAGAAAGAGGAGAAGCAACAAAGGGGGAATAAAGAGGAGGAAGAGGGTTATGGGGGAATGGGAAGTAGCCTACTTGTTGTACATGCAGAAATAATTCTTCCGAGCCTCCACAAATCAAGTCTTAAAATTTTTTTTGGGGGGGGGGGGTGTATTAGAGCAACAGTGAGCCCCCCCCAAAAAAACAACAACAACAACAAACAAAAAACAAACAAAAACATAATATATTCTAAAGCGAGCCTTTCAATAACTGGACAGTGTACCCTTCAAGTACGTTAAGGCTGGGTACTCTGTGTGTGGAAATTGAGACTAACCCAATAAAAATAAATGAAATTATGATCTTGCGCTAAAAATAATCCAAAAGAAAAAAAAAAGAACCAGACAATCAAAACCACGCTAAGCATACAGTCATCCTGAAGACACGAGCGTCTAATCAGTCAATTTCCGAAACAACGTCCAACACCGAGTCCCACTATTTCCTGGGACGAAGATTCCATTACAAACGGAATCAGACAAGGGCTTGTTTTTTGGAAGCGTTCAGACCATTCATACTAGTGTCCCCTAAAGGTTGAGAGATGGGGGCATGGTGGCATATGGTGGTAGGGAAAAGGGGGAAAGGGCGTGTATGTAGGGGGTGTAGGGGTGGGGGTGGGGGGTCTATGAAAATATGTGATTTCATATATATATATAATCAGAGAGAAAGAGAAAGAGAGGGGGAGAGAGACAGACCGACAGAAAGAAAGATGGTAGAACCAGATATCACAACCCGATATCACAGCAAGATAATATGAGAGCAAGATAGCTGACCTAGATATCAAGATCAGATATCAGAGCTAGCCAGACCAGAAAATCAGATGAAATCGAATTCTTCACTTTTTCCTGGGATAAATTTTTGGTTTAAGATGCTTTTCCCCATCTTCGCATTGAGTTGGGGACGTAGTGGATACAACAGCGAAGGGCACACAGGCGCATGAACATCGGAGAGACAGGTTCCCATTATGCAAATAAGTAAGACGGGAAATCAGCTTGCCGACCAGTAGTAATACGCCCTCAATCTCATGCTGTCTTCACCTAGGCCAAGTGTACTTTTTTATTACCCGTGTTAAATAAGGGACGCAACCGTGAAATGAAATGCATGGATTTTGGGTTTTTTTAAATCTGAAAAAGGAAAGTAAGTCCCTCTTCACATGCCTGTTTCAGTTTCAGTATGGTAAGAGTTTTACGGCACTCCCAACTGCATGAGGTCACTTGAGGGCAGGACTCAAGGCGGTTGTTTTCACTTCAGTTTAAAACACGAAATGGTTTTATTTTGTGAAGTTGGAATGGTTGAAGTTAATAATTCATGTGAGAAATTCAGTAGTTAAAACATTCATTTATATTTCTAAAAAAGTACAAATTACAATTCGGGGTGAAGATTGAAAATTCTGTTGAGATCAAGAGTGGAAAACAAATTCTTCTAATTAGAGCATTTAAAATATTTTCTTCTGATATTAAAAAGTCCGAACACTCTTTTAGGGTATGCTGGATTGTTAGGTTAGATTCGCGTCCAAAACGAAACGGATTTTTCATCTTCCTGAAGGGGGTATCTATCTGTCAGAGAGGTAGGTATTTTTAATGCTTAGTGGAGACCTGAGGGTTTTCGAGGGCCCTGTTTGGGCACACCATGATGGAGTTTACTGCTGATTTGTTTGCCCCATTGTATTTCCCACTCACACTGGAGGCGTACATTTGACCTTTTCCCATACGTAGGCAAACTGGCTCCCTAGT